CTAGGACACTAGGGCTGCAGGTCTGGTCTCGGCAGAAGCAGGTGAAGGGCTGTTGCTTGTGGCCAGCCTGTGCCCACCGCTCATTTTCCTATTGAACGGCAGGCAGGCGTATTGCGGCAGAAATCAGGCTGAAAGGGGAAAAGACAGCCCTGTCTAGGGGGTAGTTCAGGAAGATTTGGGGCCTTGTTTGCCCTCGACACGTGGCCTGACTGAAGTAAAGAACCCTGTAGTATGGTCATGTGCCACACTGCCGTTCCAGAATGACTGCTCACCCTTTCCCGAGTGTGCTGGTGGGACTCTTTGGGGCTTGGCTTTTCCTTTCTCTTGGGTTGATTTATTTGAATGTTCCCTCCCACCTTCTGTTATTATTATTATTATTTTGGGGGATTTCCTCATGAACTTTGTTCCGATTTGCATTTTTTTTCCTTTGAGCTTTTTCAAGTTATTCCCCTCCCGCCCCCCAGGTAAACCCCTAAGCTCTCAAGGCTCACTTTCTTTTCTCAGCAGCTTCCTTGCATCGCTCATATGATCTCAGCCCATGAACATTCATCAACAGAAAACCAAAGCCATCATCGCGGACGCTGCCATTGAGATACCACTCGGGCCTTTGGCCTCCCCGTCATCTTGCTCTATAAAGTGGGACTCAATTTCCCATAAGCGGAAGCAGAATCTCTATTTAAATGCACTTGCAAGGTCTGGGCGAGCTTCCTATTTATAGTAAAATCCTTTATATAATGACCTCATAGACGGTGCCAGGAAATTGCTCACGGATGGGTCAGGCCAAAGGCCAATAAAGCCACCGTGTGAGCTTTACTTAAAAAAATTCCTTCACGAGCCTCTGGAATTCTTTGGAGAAGTGTTTTCACGGAGTATATGACAATAAATGGGGCCACCAGGATGGATTACAGTGGTAGAGACATTGAACTTAAGTTCAAAGGGAATTTCCGCTTCATCAGGCCAATCTCAATACTTTTTATCACTTTGGGCTTCCCAAATAAAGTACTGGGTGAATCACGTTTATGAAATATTATATATGCAACATTGGCTCTGGACTTCCCAGAGGCAGAGAAGTGTGATTAGAGACAAGAGTCTCTGAGGACACAGACAACCCGGGGGTGAATCCCGCACAAAATGCTTGTGAGAATCGATGAAATAGTGTGTGTAAAGCATCCGCGTAAGATCTGTCAGCATTTTGTAGTGTCATATGTGTCTGTTTCTTCATCTTCGCAAAAAACAGTTGAACGGCGGGGGGCTGGGCGGGTAGGCACAAACTGCTGTCCCCTTCTCAAGAGACAGTGAGTCCTAGTCTTATACTTTTCCTGTATGTCTGTGTACGGGATGATGTCTCACCTACCAGAGTAGGGAATAGTACAGTGTTATTCTTCCAGCAACCCAGGGCTCTCGGCCACCCACTCTGTGTACTCTGGGAGCTAGACATGACCCAGGCCAGATGACTGGCTGTTCATTTGGACGTGGACCAGCTCTTCATTTTGGAGACTGGGGAAATAAACCAGGCAGTGAGTGATATTCAGAGTGACAGATAACTCTGCCTCAGTCCCCCTAGGAGGGGCTCCCGAGGCATCACTGGGCTGCCTACCTACCTCTCTGCCATCCTTTTCTAAGCCATTCATCTCACACATCATTGTTAACCATTTCCTGTGTGCAGGACACATAGGTTTTCCAACAGGGGGTTGGATGTGGTCCCTGATCTGAAGGAGTAAACCACTGAATATGGGGTGATGAGGCAGGTGTATACATGTATAGACAAGCGAAGGGTCACAGAAGCAATGTCAACAGGGTGCTCTCCCTAAGGCCTGAGTGGTCATTTCCGGCTGGGGACTTGGGAGAGCTCCATGAGAGAGCCCTCACTAATCCTAAATACCCCAAAATGTACGAGAACCAGAGGTGAAAGCTATTGATTAGTCCATCCCATGCCATTTTACCAAGATGGAAGGAAGCTTGAGCTCACTGTTGTGAGAGGGGAGTAGGAACTGAAGTGGAAAGGATTTCACTGGAAAATAAGTCTAACTGCTCACTATTACTTTCTACACTGGGCCCTCGCTGGACTAAAATGGTACCCGCTCACCTGGCATGTCACAACTGTACACACCAGGGCCTACAGCTGGAAGTTTATCACCATTTTCATCCCTTTGGCCAGGAGCTTTGTATAACCAGCAAATATATGCGGGGACCCTGCTCTGCTTCAGTCTCCTCGGAAGCTTCTCTTCATCAGAGGTGAATTAAATGCTCTTCCATTGGTCTTTGTCCATAGGACTGATTTCTCCATCACTGTCTGCTTTGCTCTTCTAGATTGTTTCTGCATTTTTTATTTCTTGCCGTATTAGAGTCCCTGGTTCGGTAGGGTGTTCTACCAATGGTCTGTTGGTGGTGAAAGCTAGAATTATCTGGGCATGTTCATACTCTATATTCTACTTCTTGATCCTCATAAATCACAAGGATAGTGTGTTGGAGAAAAGCCAGATTCTTTGGTTGCTTAAAGATTTTGTGAAAGGGGAGAAAATCTGGCCTGAAACGGGGTCCCGAAGAGAACAGGAGACAGGGGATGAGACTGGGCTTCCTGAGAGGTTTAGTGTGATGATATACATGGGATTCTTTTGATCACTCTTCATGCAGGAGGCTACCTAAGTTGTGATTGGCATCTCCACATTTTATATCTAGTTCATAGCAATCATGAAACTTAGCTCTGTTTTACACTCAGCCCGTACATTCAGTATAACCCACTTCTTCATACTGTTCATCTTTTGATTGATTTCCATGATAGTCGCTTAATCAGGAAACCCCGAGTTTATTTGCTTCATAGACATACTTGGATTTTCTTGAGAGAGTTCTTTTTTTTTTTTTTTTTCTTTGATGTGGACCATTAAAAAAGTCTTTATTGAATTTGTTACAATATTACTTCTGTTTTATGCTTTGGTTTTTTGGCTGCGAGGCATGTGGGATCTTAGCTCCCGGACCAGGGATTGAACCTGCACTCCCTGCATTGGAAGGCAAAGTCCCAACCACTGGACCACCAGGGAAGTCCTGAGAGAGTTCTAAAAGTGGTTAAGATGGCAACTGAGAAAGAAAGAAGAAAGGGACTTCTTTCTGGATTTGGGCAATGAAAATTTTATAGGCAGAATAAAATTTTTGCGGACGTCCTGCTTTTTGGAGATTATTTGCAAAACCATTCTGTATGACACACATCTGTCTCTGAGATGCAGTGACTGATGAAGAAAAACCCACACTCCGCAGGCCACAGGGTGTGGCCCCCTGCTCTGTCTGCCACAGACAGCCCACATTTTTCTTGCAGAGAATTGTCTGCCTCCCTGAAGATGAAAATCAGTGACTTAGAAACTGATTAAACAATCCAAATAGCAACTGATAAATGGATTAACCCTCTATAATGCAATTCTGTGAGCTTTTGTCTTCCGCCTTCCCCAGGTAAGTTTTTCTATTCCTAGAGGCAAAGCAGAAGCATGGAGGAAGCGGAGGCCAGGGGGAATCATATTAAAGTCGGTGAATCCGTTTATCATTTACTGTCTGGATGGTATTTCTGCTCACATATCTGCTTCCTTTTACAGATGTGTACCCTGATTAATGTTAGGCAGTGAATAATGAACGATAGGGGCAGACATTGGGGATGGGGGGAGGAAGATACCTCGGTGGTTTAGGCTGATCCCATAAACAGAGAGACTTTTTTTCTTAGTCACAAACAGGGAGCGTTAACATGACAAAGAAAGGTCCACAATAGGGATCGAAAACCAAGTAAAATGGAAGCATTTCTTCTCATGCAGAGAACCTGTCCGAGGCTTTTTAACCAGCCCCTAGACACTGAGATTTCGGTGCTTGAGGACATGTGCTGTTTTCACGAGGCTTTGTTTTTAAACTCGTGTCCCAAGGTATTCCTTTGTCTTTGTGTAGGGCCTTTCCGTAAGGGTGGCTTATGAAAGTCTTAGGCCTCCGATATGCTCACTAACTCACGGTTCAACCCATCTCCGGTATGAGGCTGAGCTAAGTGTTCAGTTCTGATTCTAGGCACTTGGGGTCTGCTGATTAACTAGTCCTGGGTGCTTTCCATGACCAACAAGTCTGGACTTCAGGGAGATGGGGCTGAACAAGAGTGGACACCTGTGTACCTGCCCACATGTGCATCAGAGTCCCCCAGAGCATCTTCAGGGTCCTTCCTGCAAATGATCCCCCATCAGTGCTTCTTTGTTTTCCTTTTCAGAGACAGAAGGAATATCTCCTAAACGAGAGTATCTTTCCCAAGGGCAAGGCCTAGGTAGTGACCTTTCTCTCTTCCTCTAGTCACACCACCGTTGATGGTTACCATCTGATGTTTGGGTCCCAAAGGGCTCATTGTTCATGAGAGGAGTTTCACTTGGTTAGTAAGGCCTTCTGGAAACTCAGCTCTGGATGGCTTGCAGGACACTGGTACACGGTTGAACCGAGGAGAATCATAAAGAAAACTTTGCCCAAGTTAACAACTTGGTTGTAACAAAACCTCAGATCCTAAACTTCATATTCTTTCTGGAGCAGATTCTGCCCTACCGTGGGAGAAGAGGGGCCGGTGGAGACTCACCCGAGCCTCTAACATTGGATTTTTATAAAAATGTCTCCACAGCCCAGAAAGGACCGGACGGGACAGTCATTCCCAATAACTACTGTGACTTCTGCTTGGGGGGTTCTAACATGAACAAGAAGAGTGGGAGGCCGGAAGAGCTGGTGTCCTGTGCAGACTGTGGACGCTCTGGTGAGTGTGGCCCCTTCTCGCATCATGTGCCCGTAGACCAGGAACCCTTCCACTCGCGCTTCTCTGCCATCTTGTGGGGGTCAGGGGCTGAGGGGTGGGTGCAGAAGTGACGGTGATGATACTTCGAGTGGAGACGGGTCTTCGGGTTATTTTGATTTGTTTCTTCTTGAGGCTTAAGAGCTAGAAGTTATGCCCTGGGATCTGGGGAAAAGGGAAAGAAGGTTTGGGCTTCTGTCTGTCCGGCCTTTCCGTGAGGTGGATATTTCTTTGTGTGTGTTGTTGTGGACGACAGTGAGACAGTGCGGAAACACCCGGAGACGCAGGCAACGTGCTTCCTTGTATCGGGTGATGTGCCCGTAACAAAGAGGTGCGTTGGTTCTGCGGAAGTGCCCGGGGCAAACCGGAAGAATGTGGAGACGTGAATACTGGGAGAGCAGCCACATCTGGAGCTGTGGGGGGCACAGACCCCTGCGCTCCTGGCTAGCTGCATAGATGCCACCCCATTGGCCACTTACACCATTTTCTCATGTGGAAAGCAAAAGAGAGCCCGGTCGATCAAGGAGGCAAAGGGCAGGTGTTCTTAGGCCTCCTCCGCAGTTGACTTGGCATGTTTTGAATTTTCATCTTCGATCTATTCAGAGACTAAAATTGGTCTTGTTCTTCCATTCTTAGAATGGGCACAGGTATTCAAGTTTTGTGCAGGCTGTTTTGCTTTCCAATTCCATTAATTTGCGCTGGATCGTGGTTGGCTTTTCATATTGTTTTATGTTATAACGAGGCCAAGGCGCAAGGCAGGGAGGAGAGAAGGTTTCAGACTCATCTTTAGTCTCATCAACTGCTGACTAGTAGGTGAAATACAGTTTGGTTGGGTGGTTGGTTCCACCAGCCAGGAGTCATGGCTCCTTCCCACCTCTCTACCCAGCATCTGTTCTATTCCTAGTCCTGAGAGAAGGCCTGAGATGACCACACCCGACTTTACTATAGCAGCTCAGTTCTTCCCTCGCTCCGTCCGCAGACATTAGCTTTAGTCCTTTTGTATTTGGTTTTGGGTTGTTTAAGCTTTAAGACTGACTTGAACAGCAAATCAGTAATTGGAAAAGCACTGTGGTTTTTACTGCATACAACCCTCCACATTTAACCCTTAAGGACCCTGACAGGGTGGCCCATCTGTGCAATTCTGTCAATTCCTTCACTTTGCCAAACGTGATACCTAACGTTGAACTCTTTATCCTACTGGTGCCAGCTTAGCAGAGAGGGCCCATGTGATAGTGGAGGGATTTAGATACTCAAAAAGAAAATGAAACAAATGAAATTCACTTCAGCATTTTTAAAAAGCAAGCGATCAGACAAAATCTTTACCACCAGAAACAAAGTTACTTGGTGGCATGATATTCTAGGCAGAATTTTATGGACTGCTATGGGTTTGGGATGAGTTAGAGAAGGCAGCTTCAGAATTCTCAGTGAAAACTTCTGAAATTTCTCCTCTCCCTTTCCTACAAAAGACGGGTACTTGGATCTGATCCATGGGGGACCAGAAGTGGGCAGTTGGTTTTCTCTATACAAAGCTTCTCTCTTCACAGCCTTCACTCAGCTTATCCTTCCAAGGATCTGTCTGCTATGTGACTCAGGGGGTCATCTTATACCAGCCTAGGTGTTCTCATTGCATTCGCCAGGGATTAATTTTGGTGGATAATTTAGTCAAGGTCTGACTCTGATGTTCCTGAAGTAGTCAACACCTTGGGAATAAGCAGGTGGCATTAGCCCGTGGGATATGCTTGTTAAGGCAGGTGGGCCAATACTTCTTCTCTAGGGCCTCCCTGGAGCCCTTCCGAGGAAGAGTGTGGAGCTCGGAAGGGCTGCCTTTTCCTTCCCATCTACCCCACTACCTACTTTTCCTGGGAGAAAGAGTGAGATTCCGGAAATTGGCACCCTAAGTGGTGCCTTATGACCTCATCGGGGGCAGTCCTGGGGCCCATTTGGAACGTGAAAAAGTTTCTGTCGGAGTTTTATAGACTTCAGGATACAGTCTTCAATTCGGCTTTTCTACCCCTATTTCCCTCTTTCTCAGTGCTCTGAGTTAGATTTGACAAGCCTGGACTTTCTGGAGTAACTCAGACCTGGGTGTGTTTAGGGCCTGGTGTGTGTGCGTGCGTGCCTGTGCGCACACACGCGTGTATGTGTATGCGCACGTGTGTGGGTGCAGATCACAGAAATGTCCTCCAGTGGTTAAAGAAAACGGGAGACTCTTTTATTACCTACCACTTATCAGACTTTCCAACTTCTTTTTGCTTTCAGTGCAAATGAACTACATGATGTAAGGGCAGAATTGAAAGGGTATGGAAAGAATGGGATTAGAAACGGGTAAAAATAAAAATAAGACGGATGGAGGCTTAACCACCTTGACTGGGTTATCTGACAGTAATACCTTTGTAAAGCTGACTGTCAAAGTGAAGGACAAACATTGTGCAAAGAAACGCCAACTGAAAACACCAAAGAAATACCAACCAGGCTTAAAAACCACCAAGGAAACGCATTGTCTGGGGTGGGTTGAGCGAGCGTGCGTGCGAATGTGTGCCTTCGGAAGAGAAGAAAGAAAGATCGTGGTTGAATCTTGCGCTGTCAGAGCTGTGGACAAATATATTATGGTAGAGATGATGCCTTTTCAGGGAGGGGAGAATCCTTTTCCCTGAAAATGTTGGCTTTGTCCCGTTACCCCAAACCCCCGTCACCAGGTGACGCACCCAGTTAATCCCTTTTGGTGTGAAATGGTTTATGATTTTACTATTAAGAATAACACTGTAATAATGTAATAAGAATATTAATAATGCTGTCTGTTGCTTAACCCATGTGCTGATATATTCATCATACATGTCAGCTCATTTGGGAGGAGAAGGCAGGAAGGAGGAGGAGGCAGCGGCCGCAGCGCGCACCACGGAGGACTTATTCGGTTCCACGTCAGAAAGTGACACCTCAACTTTCCACGGCTTTGATGAGGACGATTTGGAAGAGCCTCGCTCCTGCCGAGGACGCCGCAGTGGCCGGGCTTCGCCCACAGCAGATAAAAAGGGCAGTTGCTAAACGCACGGAATGGACTTTCTGGGCAATTAGCCATCACCCTGTGACTTCGGTCATTGCTCTGGTTCTGATATATATATTTTTTTAATGAAAGACAATTTAGGTTTTCCCTTCATCCTTGCTTTTTCCTCTCTTTCCACTTGTCCCTCCCCCCTCCTTCCCTTTATTTAGGGTACATACAGCAGAAGCACAGACTACTGAAACGAAACAGAACGAAAGAAAGAATAACAGTCCTTCAGAGAGATGGCATCGTGATGTACTATTTATTTTCCATAGAGATGGGAAGTTAGGCGGATTATATCGTTTTTGGGGGGGAGGGGATCTTTTTGACATGAGCAGAGTTGATTTCCTCAGTTTTCCTATTTATTGGCAAAACGAAGAGTGGAGGAACATTGGGTTTGGAAACAAAGAACCAATAACGTTAAAAAATGATTTTTTATATCTTCTAGCTATGATTAGAAGCAGGCCTTTTTTTTTTTTTTTTTTTTTTTTTTTTTTGTGCGTGCGAATGTGTGCCTTCGGAAGAGAAGAAAGAAAGATCGTGGTTGAATCTTGCGCTGTCAGAGCTGTGGACAAATATATTATGGTAGAGATGATGCCTTTTCAGGGAGGGGAGAATCCTTTTCCCTGAAAATGTTGGCTTTGTCCCGTTACCCCAAACCCCCGTCACCAGGTGACGCACCCAGTTAATCCCTTTTGGTGTGAAATGGTTTATGATTTTACTATTAAGAATAACACTGTAATAATGTAATAAGAATATTAATAATGCTGTCTGTTGCTTAACCCATGTGCTGATATATTCATCATACATGTCAGCTCATTTGGGAGGAGAAGGCAGGAAGGAGGAGGAGGCAGCGGCCGCAGCGCGCACCACGGAGGACTTATTCGGTTCCACGTCAGAAAGTGACACCTCAACTTTCCACGGCTTTGATGAGGACGATTTGGAAGAGCCTCGCTCCTGCCGAGGACGCCGCAGTGGCCGGGCTTCGCCCACAGCAGATAAAAAGGGCAGTTGCTAAACGCACGGAATGGACTTTCTGGGCAATTAGCCATCACCCTGTGACTTCGGTCATTGCTCTGGTTCTGATATATATATTTTTTTAATGAAAGACAATTTAGGTTTTCCCTTCATCCTTGCTTTTTCCTCTCTTTCCACTTGTCCCTCCCCCCTCCTTCCCTTTATTTAGGGTACATACAGCAGAAGCACAGACTACTGAAACGAAACAGAACGAAAGAAAGAATAACAGTCCTTCAGAGAGATGGCATCGTGATGTACTATTTATTTTCCATAGAGATGGGAAGTTAGGCGGATTATATCGTTTTTGGGGGGGAGGGGATCTTTTTGACATGAGCAGAGTTGATTTCCTCAGTTTTCCTATTTATTGGCAAAACGAAGAGTGGAGGAACATTGGGTTTGGAAACAAAGAACCAATAACGTTAAAAAATGATTTTTTATATCTTCTAGCTATGATTAGAAGCAGGCCTTTTTTTTTTTTTTTTTTTTTTTTTTTTTTGAGACAGAGAGAGAGAGAAGGGAAATCAAAGAAATTGAAGTAATATCCTGTTTAGAAGAAAGCCTGTATGGGGGAGGATTTCCTTGACGGGAGAGGATGGCACTTTGTACCCCACGGAGCTGGTGGCTCCCCACGGCAGACCCCCTCCCCATTTCTCCTCCCCCGACCTTGCCATCTTCCTCTCTGCCCGCGAGAACATGCCAGCAGTTCCTGAGAAGCCGGGCAGCCTGTGTGTGGCCCCCGTCCAGCTCCTGGGCCCTGACCTGCAGCGCCTGTGGGATCCTCCTCCTCCGTCAGCAGAGCTGCTGTTTTGTTGTTGCTGGTTTTTTCCTCACTTTCCGCCTGGTGGAGAGCAATTTCCAAACACAGGAATGGAGTATAAGCAGAAAGTCGTGGACTCAACAGTGACCA